TTTTCACTATAAATTTTACGGGTAGCTTGAATGCAAAACATTGTCATGAATTCGCTGTATTCCCATTTGTAAAATAGCCAACAAATTCATTGTTGTAGGCTAACCTGATCTCATGAAAGTGTGTAGTATAGCACGGTTTTCTGCTTCTATTTGGCGTAATATTTCTATGCAGAAATTGACTTTGGCATGCAAAAGACTGATAAATTCATAATTAATGGCATGGCTGGTTCAGTCGACAGAAATATGGGACACACAGGCTTATAATAACTGCTGAAATGTTTGCGGGGCAAATCTCAGATCAGTCTGAGCGCTCATGGTACTCACAGTGCATACAGCCCTACACTTGCAGTCGCCACTGACTCGGACGGTTGTCATGATAATAAACACCGTAAACGGCAAACGTTCACGTGTCTGCGCTTAATGCGCATATCCTATATGAAAAGCATTTTAGGGGGCCCTTGGCTTTTGGGGGCCCAAGGCGGTCGCCTACCTTTGCCTAATGGGTAAGTCCGCCCCTGAGTAGTGCTACATGAAAAAGAAAAAGGCTTACCAAAACAAAGTTACTGAGTGTTTTTGAAGCAGCCACCAACAATCTGGACGAGCTCACGGAATCTGTAACATCATAAATCAGTTTCTGTGAAGACATGTGCATCCCTACCAGGACTCATTTAACATTCAACAATGATAAGCCATGGTTTACAGCAAAACTTCGTCATCTTCGTCAGGCCAAAGAGGACGCCTACAAAAGGGGGGACAGAGTCTTGTACAATCAGGCCAGAAACACACTGAATAAGGAGATTAGAGTGGCCAAGAGGAACTGTTATATTTATATTTTTTATATTTGTAATATTTAATATTTATAAATACAGAAATACATTTAAAATAAAATAAAATAAAATAGCCATTAAACAGGAATAACATCACAATAAATGTAACCATGAATAAAAGAAAAGAAAAAAAAACTAAATAATACACACATTTTGAAATACATTTATTGAGCGTTATTTGTCCTATTGGTTCATGTAATTATTTATTTATTCCTTGTTTTATTGTGCATGATATTTGAACTTCCCACATCAATATGTGTGCATTTTTGATTTTCCAGAGCCGAACTGCTTCACCATCTTGTCCCACGTGTCTCATCCTGACCCCGACCAGAGAGCTGGCCATCCAGATAGAGAAGCAGACGAAAGAGCTGGTGATGAGTCTGCCCAACATGAGAACTGCTCTTCTGGTGGGGGGGATGCCTTTACCCCCTCAGCTGCATCGACTCAAGCAGAACATCAAGGTACTTGTTGGTTAGTAAAGAGCTTTTATCAGAAACCATCACCTTATTTGATTGCGCTTCCTTTCTCCAGATAGTAATAGCCACTCCAGGACGCCTCCTTGAGATCCTGAAGCAGAAGGCTGTACGGCTGGATAACGTCAGGGCCGTTGTGGTTGATGAGGTATTTATTATGTTTTATTTATTATTGCTTTATATTGTTTCATTTATTTTATTTATTGCTTTATTTACTACTTATGTTTTTGTGTTATTTATAATTTTTATTATCATTTATACTTTAATCAGTGTTGTGTTATATATATATATCTCCTTGAGATCCTGAAGCAGAAGGCTGTACGGCTGGATAACGTCAGGGCTGTTGTGGTTGATGAGGTATTTATTATGTTTTATTTATTATTGCTTTATATTGTTTCATTTATTTTATTTATTGCTTTATTTACTACTTATGTTTTTGTGTTATTTATAATTTTTATTATCATTTATACTTTAATCAGTGTTGTGTT